CCTGATTTCAACATATAATATGATATGGTGATAATCAAATTAGCATGTAACTGGCACAAAAACAGATACAAGGAATATTGGAACAATACAGAGAATTCAGAAATAAATCCCATATCGTACAGTCAACTGATCTTTGGGTATAAGACATGGCAGTAGATAAAGTCTTTTTCTGCAAACGGTGCTCGAAGAACTGAATATTCATCTCCAGGAAAATAAAACTGACCCCTCTCACCATTAACAAGAACCAAGTCCAAATAAATAGCATATTTAGTGCCTCAATGTAGAAAACTACTAGTAGAAAATGCTGGGGAACCTTTTGAATACACTAGAGTAGGTAATTTCTTAAATAAGATCCCTTAATCACAGGCAATAATCCCCAAGATAGGTGAAATTACATCAAGCTAAAAAGCTTCCTCTTAACAAAAGTATCAATAATTAGAGTGAAAGGACATTCTTTAGAAAGGAAGAAAATGCTTGCAAATTATTCCTCAGAGGAGAAATTGATATCCAGCATATATAGAGAACTCAAGCCACATGCCCATTAAAAAATGAGTAATTCAATTTTAAAATGGGCAAATGAATAGACAACTCTTCAAAGAACACTTATGAATGACCAAAAGGCATATGGAAAATGTTCAAAGTCTCGTCATAAGAAAAATGCAAATTAAAAACACAATGATGGGATCAGCAGTTAGAATAAGGGTATCGACTGCAGTTTGGGTCCTGGATCTGGTGGCTTAAACTCAGACAGGATATGTGTAAGTGCCCAACATCCTAAGAGAATGGAGAAGGGACTGCAGTGTGATCATCCCCCCAGGAGGGTGACTTCTCATTTCTGTCTGTCTCTCTCTGTCTTTCTGGCAAGCGGATGAGCCCTATAACAAAAAACCTCTAAACAAACAAATAAGCCATGATGAGATACTATTTAATCCCAGTTAAAATGTCTAGGATTTAAAAAAAAAAAAATAAAGAAAAAGCCTGAGGCTGTGGTGAAAAGGAAACCCGTACACTGCTGGTGGCGATGTAAATTAGTACAATCTCTATGGAAAATAATAGAGGCTCCTCAAAAACCTGCAAATAGAACTACTAATATGACCCAGTAATTCAACTCCTTGGTATTTACCCAAAGGATTAGGAAAACACTCTATTGGAATGACATGTGCATATCCATGTTTACAGTAGCATTATTCATAATTGCTGAAATAAGGAATGAATATCAGTGTTCAAAAACCGATGACAGGTTTGCAAAGGTTTTGTGTGTGTGAGACTGGGACCAGCAGTTGGTGTAATGGCTATGTCACTGACTCCCACGTAGACCGCGGTTCGTGTCCTGGACCCGGTGGCTTAAAACTCACGCTGGGCACGTGTGTGTGGGTGCCCAAGATCCCGAGAGGAGAATGGAGAAGGGATTGCGGCGTGGCCATCCCCCCTGGGGAGTGATTTCTCGCTTTCTGTCTCTCTGTCTCTGTCTGGCAAGCGCACGCGCCCTATGGCAAAAAACTCTAAAAAAAAAAAATGGGGCTCATTTGACTCAGTGGATGTATATAGAAGACTTAATGAACAATGTGAGCCAAACTTTTGAAGATGCATATCATATTGTATATCTCCATTCAATTTATACCAAGTGATTAAATTGTATGGAAGAGATTGAGATCTGAAGATGTGGTAATGGAGAAGATACCATGTGGATGCTAGAGACTATAGAAGGCAAGAGTGGGTGGCAGAGACAGAGTGGTGAACGGTTGGTGTGAAGTACACAGAAAAATATAACATTCTCAGTTAATAAAAAATACACACACACACACACACAATACATCACGATAAAGACTTGATGTCACATGTAAAATTAACCTGGAAATTAAAAAAGAAAGGAAAACCAAAAGGAAGGAAAAGAAAAAAAGAAACTTTACCAGAGGCACTATTGGAGGGCCCTTTTAGAAGGTATGTGTTTATTAGAACTTAGAGAATTTAGTACTTCCTGAAGCCTTTGACACTTTTTTTTTTCCTTCCATATAATAAACAGAATCAGAGGATAGAGAAATTTCATTCAGGTTATTTCCTTTTAAGTTTTTTCAAATTAATGGTATTTTTATTGCATCTATAAAACATCACATGTAGACCTAAAAAATCATCTGGTATTTTGCTTCTGTTGCTAAAAATTTCTTTGATCTTATTCATCAGCCTGGTAAATGGTTAACTTTTCAGAGACATAGATACCAGTCAAAATTTTTCTGATATTCTTTTTAACTGTTCTGGCTTGCTGAATCAATGCAGCTGAATTTGAAAGAAGTTCCATGTTGTTTCCTTCAAGGAACAATTAATCTTTCTGAGTTGATACACTAAACAAGCAACACCTGGTTGCATCTAAACTCTGTGGCTTTTTCATCCAACATATTTCCAATTTCAGTAAGAGGTCTATTCATCTGAATCATGGTGTTGATGGGAAAATGAGCGCACACACACTTCATCTTGCAATGGAAGCCCAATGTAACAACCTATGTCATATTCTGTAAATGATTATAGATAGTGTGAATTGTAACAGGTTCCTATCTATTTCCATATTTATCAACACAGAGCTTCTTTCTTTTCTTTCTGAGTCTGATTTCTACACTGATGTGACCAAAGACCATGGCAGAGTCCTTCTGGGACTCTATTGATCCCTTCAGAATGATGCTGATATTTCTGGTGTCAACATCTGGTTTGATTCTCATAGTAGGTACAACAAAATTGTATTTTTTAATTTTATTTCAATTAACACATGATGCATATTAAACATAATGGCAAACTTAAAGGGGAAATATCTGAAACTTTTCCTTTTCTTTTCAAAATGATTTAGTTCTATACAAAGAAAGATTTATCCTGTATATAACTACAATACAGTAAATAGTTTAAGGCCAGTCAGTAGCATGGTGATTAAAGCATTTCTGACTCCACAGTTAAAGTCCTAGACCTATTAGCTTGGAAAACACATGGGTGCATGTGTGTGCATGTCCAAAATCCCAAGAGGATAATAGAGAAGAAATTATGGCATGGTCATCCTTGCTGGAAAGTGATTTCTCTCTCCCACTCTCTTTCCGTCTCTCTCTCCAGTGAGTATACATACCCTATAGCAAAACTAAAACAGAAATATTATTTAAAAAGTTGTGGTAGTATTTGCAATTACATGTAAGAATACTGAAATTCTTTAACTTAATGTGTGAGGACTGATTACAATATTGTTGGTGTTGTAATTCTTAAAACAGAGAGAATAGAGGTCAGCAGGTGACAGGGTAATTAAGGTGCTCAACTTCCACATGGCCAACCATGGTTCAAGTCCCAGAGCCTGTGGCTTAAAAATCACTCCAGGTGTGCACGTGCATGCCCAAAATCCCAAGAGGGAAATAAAGGACAAATTTCAGTGAGATCTCCCTGGGGGGATCAACACACAGGAATTAGCTACATTCAGTTGTTTGTATTTTAACGCAAACACACACACACACACACAAAAACCACATTTCTCATTTTCATTCCCTATTCTGGTGAGCAAACATACTCTAAGTCAAAATCCTTATAAATCTGATATATTTCATCTTGTTTCATTGTGAACTTACTATGAAAAGTTGCTTCTATGTATTTCAGCTGGAAAAAAAAAATTCTGTGCCTATCCTATTCTTTAAGTAGACAAATTTAGGTTTCATAGGGTTAATACTAGAAAAAAATTTTGCTCTAACAATTATACCCGGGGCCATCCCATAGCCTGGTGGTTAAGTGTGGTGACCTTATGGTTTAAGTACAGAACCCAATGGCTTTAAAAACACACCGGCGGGAACCAGCAGTTAGCGTAATGGCTATGTCACTGGACTCCCACATAGTCCGACCGCGGTTCGCATGCCAGACCTGGTGGCTTAAAACTCACGCCAGGCACGTGTGCGTGCGTGCCCAAGATCAAGAGGAGAATGGAGAAGGGATTGTGGCGTGACCATTCCCCCGGGGGGTGATTTCTCGCTTTCTATCTCTATGTCTTTCTCTGTCTAGCGAGTGCACGCGCCCTATAGTGAAAATCTCTCAAAAAAAAACCCCAAAAAACAAAACAGAAAAACCCCACAAACACTGGCTATTCACGCATGTATGTCCCAAATCCCAAAAAGAGGGAGAAATGGAGAAGGGATTGTAGTGTGACCACACCCCATGGCATAATTCTTTAAATTCTTTTTCAGCCTCCAGCAAGCACATGCATCTCAGTCACTTTTTTAAAAAAATTATGCTTTAGTCTCACTTTTGTCTGATATAGATAATAGCCACTAATGTTTTGAAGTAGTGCTGGAAGGAGTTAAATTTTGAAGTCATTGGGAGGATGCTACTGTGTTTTTTGCGTCTCAGAAAATAAACTGTGAAGTCCAGACTGGAACACTATGGCATAAAATTGTGTCCCCAAAATTCATTTGCACAAAATTCATCAATAATGTGGTAGTCTTGTGAGACATATAATAATGGTTAGTATTTCAGTAATGGGTGATGTGACCGTATGCTGAAAGAACTGTGCAATTACTATAATATTTAAGTACAAGTAATCTGTAAATAGTTTCGTGAGACCAAAAAAAAAAAAAGAGATCAGTCAGACCTTGGCCAGACTTCAGTTAAGTCAGGAATTGATTGCAATTAAGATTATCCCTCTTATAAGAGTTTAAGCAAAACAATAAAAAAAAAAAATACACATCCAATATCAATCATGTGGTGAGACTCAGGCCTGAACTTTTAGGTCATGGGGAACTTTGCTTACAGACTTCCTCCAACCTATGAACACACACTCTTCACAGTGTAGGCAATTACAGGTCCACATACAGAAAGACATGTAACCTGGGGCTGCAGAGGTAATGGGAAAGTCACTGCTGGCCCTGAATGAAATATTGACCATGGCTGGTTATAAGCATTTTGGCTGGTGCAACTGGATCATATGTCTGTAGTAACACAGCTGTGCAATAATCTGGTGAAAAAATGTTGGGCAGGCAAAATAAGAGCCACTATAAACAATTTATTAGAATATAATAAGCATGGTATTTAGGAACTTTAATACATTAAGACATTGATACAAAGATTTACATTGTTTACCAGTATTCACTGAGATATCACTCTTGGCAAACCTCAAAAATTTTTGACTCATTTGTTCTTTCCTATTTCCCTATTTCTAATGAATTTTTCATGAGCCACCTGAGATAAAGTGACATGAGTTTGTCCCGTGCAAATTTCTAACCCATAAAACCAGTAACTTTTACAACATACATGAAGTAGCTACATTAAGATGTCTGTGTTCTAATGCAAACACAATGAACATACACAACAGTTTAACAATGTACAAATTTCTCACCCATGTAAAACACAAACGCCAAGATTTTATTACAAGACAAGTAGATGTCTGCTCTCTCTGATTCTGTCAAAATCATGGTAATCAGTTTTTACTTATGGCTCCAAAGATCATCAGAAAATCAACTGCCACTTAGTCTCTGAAGCAGTGATAAATACTGGTACAGCATGTGGACATTTAAAAAATTTCCAGGTCTTTTCTGTGTTCCAGAAAGTATAATTTTTGGAGAACACATAAATAGCCTCTATTACAAGACATTTCAGCCACCTGAGAGTTCTCTGATGTTTCCTGAGATTTTATCACAAAGGTTTTTCCAAAAATCATATCCTCCATAGATACATCAGGTGATAATTTTGTGAGAAAGATTTTCTACCTCCTTTACTTTTGTAGGTTTCTATCCTGTGAATGGTCTTTCATATAGTTTAAATTTTGACTTCTTGGGAGAAGATGTCCCACATGGTCTACATTCACAGCTCCTATGTGAGTTCTATAATATACAGTGGATTCTGAATTACACAAAGATTTCTCCCATGTGAGTTCTTTGACATACAGGGAGTTATAAGTTCCAGTTAGAAAATTTACCTTAGTTTTTAAAAAAATTACAGTAAGTTGTAACTTATTGTATAAGATTTTTCTAAATCATTCACATTCAAACAGCTTTTCTCCTCTGTGAGTTCTCAGATGCTTAGTAAAGTGGCTTACAGGAGAAAAATTATATTCTTTCTTTTCATAAGGTTTCAATCTGGTATGAGTTCTCTGATGTACAGTGAGGTGTGCCTTCTGAGAGAATGTTAACTTACACTGTACACATTCATAGGGCTTCTCTCCTGTGTGAATTCTCTGATGTACAGTGAGGTGTGCCTTCTGGGAGAACATTTTCTTACACTGTCCACATTCATAGGGCTTCTCTCCTGTGTGACTTCTCTGATGTACAGTGAGGGATAACTTCTGGTAGAATGTTTTCCTACATTGTTCACATTCATAAGGTTTCTCTCCTGTGTGAGTTCTTTGATGTGTAGTGAGGTGTGACTTCTGGGAAAATGTTTTCTTGCATTGCTCACATTCATAAGGCTTCTCCCCTGTGTGACTTCTTTGATGCTTACTAAGGTATGACTTCTGAGAGAATGTTTTCTTACATTGTTCACATTCATAGGGCTTCTCCCCTGTGTGACTTCTCTGATGTACAGTGAGGGATGACTTCTGGTAAAATGTTTTCCTACACTGTTCACATTCATAGCGAGTCTCTCCTGTGTGAGTTCTTTGATGTTTACTGAGGTATGACTTCTGAGAGAATGTTTTTTTACACTGTTCACATTCATAAGGTTTCTCTCCTGTATGAATCCTCTGATGAACAGCGAGGGAAGGCTTCTCTGAAAATGTTTTCCTACATTGTTCACATTCATAGGGTTTCTCTCCTGTGTGAATTCTCTGATGCACAGTGAGATGTGACTTCTTGTTGAACATTTTCCTACACTGTTCACATTCATAAGGTTTCTCTCCTGTATGAATTCTCTGATGCACAGTGAGGTATGTCTTCTTGTAGAACATTTTCCTACACTGTTCACATTCATAGGGTTTCTCTCCTGTGTGAATTCTCTGATGTACAGTGAGGTGTGACTTCCTGTAGAACATTTTCCTACACTGTTCACATTCATAGGGTTTCTCTCCTGTGTGAATTCTCTGATGTACACTGAGTGCTGACTTCTGTGAGAATGTTTTCCTGCATTGTTCACATTCATATGGTTTCTCTCCTGTGTGACTTCTCTGATGTATACTGAGTGCTGACTTCCGGTAGAACGTCTTCCTACATTGTTCACATTCATAGGGTCTCTCTCCTGTGTGAATTCTCTGATGTACATTGAGTGCTGATTTCCGGAAAAAGGTTTTCCTACATTTTTCACACTCATAGGGTTTCTCTCCTGTGTGACTTCTCTGATGTATACTGAGTGCTGACTTCCGGTAGAACGTCTTCCTACATTGTTCACATTCATAGGGTCTCTCTCCTGTGTGAATTCTCTGATGCACACTGAGTGCTGACTTTTGGAAGAACGTTTTCCTACATTGTTCACATTCATAAGGTTTCTCTCCTGTGTGAAATCGCTGATGTATAATGAGATGTGATTTCTGGTAGAATGTTTTCTTACAGTGTTCACATACATAGAGTTTCTCTTTTGTGTGAGTTTTCTGATGTATAGTCAGGTCTGATTTCTGAGTGAATATTTTCTTACAATGTTCACATTCATAGGATCTGTCTACTGTGTATGTCCTCAGATGATTAGCGAGGTGTGAGTTCAGTGATAAGAAGTCCCTGCATTCTTTACATTCACAGGTTTTTTTTCCAGTGTGAATTCTCTCTTGCATAACTAAAGCTGACTTCCAGGAGAAAGTTTCCTTACATTGTTGACATTCATAAGGTTTCTCTTCACTGTGATTTCTCTCATGTATAGTGATTTTTGACTTTTGGAAAATGGCTTTTTGGCATTTATTATATTCATAGGGCTTTTCCCTTGTGAAGATTCTCTGATAAACAGCTAGATCAGACTCCTGAAAGAAGGATTTCTCTTCACTTGCATAGGACTTTTCTGTGCATCTCAGGTGTACTGTAATAAAAGGTTTTAAAAGAATTTCTTACATTCACATTTATTTACCTCATATATTTTCTGTTGACTAACTGGTGTAGTTAGACTTCTGGTTGAAAGTTTACTTCTACACCTGAGTTATATTCTAGGCATTGAGAGCTATTTTATCATGTTTTCCCATATTCATTTTGTTTACTATAGTCTCCTTCACATCAACCCTATTATGTGTCAATATTGCTTTTGTTGGGAAGACTTTCTCTTGTTCACTACTTTTCCTTGTTCAAAATGCTACTGTCTGGATTATATTATGTGAATTGGAATATGATGCATATGGTATATGAGAGATTCTCTCAATTGCAGGTATCAGAACTCTCTCTAGCATATACTTTATCAGGCCACGGAGAAGTGTATTTTCACATAAATTATACTCATGCATTATTACTGAATAATTTTCATTACTTGAATTGTTTCAAGAGTATAAACTCAAACATTTCTCTTTATTCAACTCTTTCCTTAATTGTTGCTACTGATGATTAGAAGGTGCCAAAAATGTGTGTCCTGATTTCCAACTCTGCTCTATCATGTAATCTACTTTTGGGACATTCTTGATTGAGAAAAAGACAACTCTATGTGTGTATCCCATCTAATAAAGACTTCTGTAAAGTTCATGAATAAAATAAGTAAATAGAAATAAATTACTTTCTGTATTAAAAAAAATTCTCATTAATCAATAAAAATTTTTCCTTAGAAATTACTATTTATAGTAACAGATATTTAGAAATTGAATCATGCTTTGCTCCTCTAAGTTTCTCTCCTATCTGACAAAATACCTAGACAAAGACATCTACTTACTACCTTACTGTAGTTATAGTTCACAAATTTTATTCAATGTATCCCCTGTCCTAACCGTTAAGTATTTTGTGCTGCTTCTTTGCTTATGTTAACATTTTCCTGGACCATTTACTATCTGCAGGATTCATAAATGAAACTCTTTTTCACCAAAACAAAAATGCTCTTTAGAAAGGATTTGTGTCCAATGAAAATAAATACTCATATTCCTAAACTTGACTTGCTTTAAGACTCCTTCAGAACTAATATACCTCATTTCCCCACACTCTTAGCCCAGTAAAACATTTTCATGTTTTTTATCTCACACTACAAATATTTTGTTTTTTTTTTCCCTAAATGAAACATAAGTTCTTTGAAACGAAATACAATAAATTAGTCTAATTTAATTTAGTTAGTCTCTGACTAATTTAATTTAGCATGGACTGACTAACCTGGGAGGTTCTGGTTGCAGAGTTCTAATGTCCATGGCTCTCCTTGCTCCAACTTAAAGATCACCGCAGGTTTAGCAATGCAGTGTCCTGTTAATGGAAAATAGTGTGGAATTTTGCCAAGATCGCAACCTATTTGAAGAGTAAGAACAGACCTGTTTCATCAGTTTGTGCGATGAAGGGGTTAATTTGAGCACTTCTTAAAGAGTAGCACCACTCACATAAAGCATAGAATGAAATCTCACAGCGAGATAGCATTAACAGCCATAAAACTTTTGAACATTTAATATGAAAGAAGACAAGGATTACTTTAGGGAGATACATGGGTGTTCCACTCACCCAAGAACACCAGGCTGCTGTAGGTCTCCAGCATCACATCCTTGTATAGGGTCCTCTGAGCATCTTCAAGGTTCTGCCACTCCTCCCACGTAAAGTGCACAGCCACATCCTCAAACGAAACGAACCCCTGTAAAAATATATTTTCCCTGAACCTATCAGCACCAAGAACTAGAACAAAAGTATGAGGTTTACTTTTTTCTGTATTTTTTTTTGTATTCTACATAAGGACAGAAAGCATATCAAAGTAAAAACATACTACCTCTGTACTAACTCATTCATTACTAAGAATATTATGAGTGCTTCCCCTATAGATATGAAAATGTTCTTATTGCAAGGGGCAAAAAGCATAATTAAGATTGCTACTCTAAGTGCTTATGGTCTCATATAAACACAGAAGTGTAAATATATACCTGAAATAAGTATTCGTTAACTAATTTGGAAACAATTTTACATTGAACCAGGCTAACAAAGTTTTTGTTTGTTTTTTTCCTGTGTTATCAGGTTGTGCTTCAATAGAAAGCCAAAGATGTTTATATCTTCTATGTGAATATTCTTATGAAAATGGAACTACAGAAGTTTCTCATAAAAGGAGAAGGAATACACCTTACATTAAAAGTGGAAACAGTTTATGTCAAGGTAAGTGTTTCTGGGCTGTGATAAAAAAAAAAAAAAGGCAGTAAAAGTATTGAAATAAATTATTGTACAAAGTGATTTTGTATTGAAATACTTGACAATATTTCAGTGAAACATTTCATATGATTGCAGCTATTAATAAATTACTTATAGGTTTATGGATGTTTACAGGCATCTTTATATTGCTCTTGTGCATTGAGAAGAATTGATAATGTCCACCAAGATGGACATCATCCACTTCCTAAAGCACAAAGCATAAATAATGGCAAAAAAAGTAACATGTTACAGGACCAGATTTTCATTATACCAGCCACCCTCAGACTGCAGAATAAGGATGAGCTTAAGGAACTGTGACAGGGTTAAAATCAAGTTTAAAAATGACTACCTAAAACAGAAATATGTATACTGAATAGGGAAATCATCCTATCAAGAAACAGCAGGAGGATAATTTAGTACTAATTTGTTTTGCAGTGGATGAAAAGAGATTAATAGAATGCTTTCTAATTAAACAAAAAACATACACATAGGTCCTGTAAACTCAAACTGGGGCAAAAATATGAGCAACAGAGAGAAGAATCTTGTGAAAATCATGTTCAAAGTTTCTTTAGCCAAATATTTAGGGAGCAGCAGAAACTGAGTAGCAGCTGACCTGAACAATCCTAAGGTATGAAAGTGAACCTAGGCTCAACTCTTATGCTCAAAGAGAATGTAAGACAGAAAATAAAAGGAAAGAAAATCAGAAAAACACTCATACATATGGATAAAGAAAGAGAACAGAGCCATGACAAACACACTCATACATATGGATAAAGAAAGAGAACATTGCCATGACAAACAAGAATCTTTTTTGACTTTTTGATATAGGGTGTTTTGATATACAGTCAGCAGAGAAAAAGACACAGAAAGAGGTAAGAGAAGTGAGAAATCATGTCTGAAAAATTCACAGCCCAGACTACCACCATGGATTCCAAAACTCTGAGCCACAAAAGGAAACTGACACATAGCTAACACACCTCATAGGGAAGTGAAAGAACAAGCAGCTACAGATGTAAAAAGTTAGACCTACCACCTCACCTCCATCTCAAGCTGGCAAAAGAACTATACTATCCTGCAGACCAATGAATAGTGGAACACTATCTAAAATCAAGTTTCTGAAGCCCAGAGAAAGCAATGGAAATAAAAAGAAAGCACCCCATGGGGGGAAAAATAAAGACTTAAGTATTTAAGCACTATCCCTTGTATGAACAGGAGGGCAGGCCTGTGCTTTCCCTATTTTCAGTCTAAATCCTTAGAAATAGTTACTCAGTTCAACTGATGCCACCTATGACATAGCAGCTCCTGTCAACACCCACAAAATATTTCATGTACATACCCAGAACTTAGATCTGTTCTTGCCTCACTCACACTAAAGAACTTACTCTAAAAATTAAGAAGCAGTACTTTACAAGATGCATAAAACAAACAAGAGACACAAGAAATATGAGGAAACAAGGAAATATCTCTCTCCCTAAGGAACAAAACAACTGGTCAATAACAAATAAAGACAAAATAATTCTGAAATGTCAGAAAAAAAAAATTCAGAATAGTCACCATAAACTGACCTTAAAAACAAAACCTCTTAGTCTAAGCAACCAGAAAATAACCAAAAAATGTGGACAACATTTCGGAAATACTAGATATTGTTAAGCAGCTGAATATCCACATAATAGGTATTCCAGAAGGCAAAGATGGGTAAAGTTATAGAATATCTCTTCCAAGATATACCATTTGAAAAATGTCCCATATCTAGAGAAACATACAAACATCCAGACCCAGAAAAAAATGAAGAGAGCCAAATAGAATCAACATACAAACATCATCTCCAAGACATATCATACTCAAATTGAGAAAAGCCAAAAACAAAATTCTAAAGATTGCAAGAAAGAAGCACAAATTTACTTACAAGTAGTATCCCACCAAACTAAAAACTCAGACCTTTCAGGAGAAATCATGTAAGCAAGAACGTAACAGAAGACCTACTTAACACTCTGAAAGAAAAATAATTTCGACCAACAATATTATGCCCTTCAAGATTATCCTTCAAATGAGAATGAGAAGTATACCCTTCAAGAGTATCCTTCAAATTAGAATGAGAAGTAAAATAATTCCCAGATAAATAAAATCTGAAAGAACTCACCAACTCTAGACCAGCTCTATAGGAAAGAATTAAAGGAATACTCTAACAGGAAAATGAAAGGGAGATAAATAGAAAGAGGAGAAAACACACAAAGAATATGAATAACAAAATGGCACGGAGAAGTATGTGAATATCAAAAATAATGTTGAATAGTAACAGATTAAGTTCTCTATCATAAATATTTACAAGCCCAACACTAGGTCACCAAAATATGTGAAAGAAAGAATGCCAGATCTAAAAAGAAAAATAAGACTGCAGGGGCCGGCAGTTGGTGTGGTAATTAAGGACACTGGACTTCCATATGGTGGATTCCAGCTCAAATCTCAGACCTGATGGCTTCCTTCTTGCTTTCCCTCTCTCTCTCGCTCGCTCGCTCTTGCTCTGTTCCTCTCTGGTCGAATTAAAAATAAATAAATAAAGTTAAAAAAATTAAAAAAAAATTAATACAGCAACACACTAACTGTTGGGGATTACAACATCCTGCCGACACTACTGTATAGATTATATACGCACAAAAAATTGACACACTGGAACTAAATGATACCCTCACTCAAATAGACCTGACAAAGATTTGTGGAACACTTCACTCAACAGTCGCAATATATATCTTTTTCTCATCACCATGTGAAACATATTCAAATAGCCACATGATAAGACACAAAACTAGCCTTTATAAATTTAAAGGTGTAGCAAACATATCAAGCATCTTTTCCATTCAGAATGGAATTGAATCTGAAGTTTAAAGAGTCGTTGAAAATATACAAAATAATGGGAGGAAAAATCTATTTCTGAACAACTTTGAAACTACTCAAGAAGTTAAAGAAAAATAAAAAGACTTATTGAAACCAATGAAAATAAACACAAAACTCTCCCGAATATCTAGGACAAAGTAAAAGCAGTCAAAAGAGGGAAGTTCACAGCAATTACTACTCACGAAGTAAAATAGAAAGGTAGCAAATAAATAAACTAATGACACATCTCTAGGAACTGGAAAAGCAACAACTCCAAAAACGCCAGAAGAAAAGAAGTAAAAATCAGAGTAGAAATAAATAAAAAAAGAATAAAGAAGTATACAAAAAACAATATCAAAAGTTGGTATTTTTGAGGGAAAAAAAGGGCACATAATTAGCTAGACCAATCAAGAAAACTGAACCAGAGAAATAAAACCAGTAATGAAACAGGTACTATTACAACAGCTTTAACAAAAACACAAAAGACTATGAGAGACTACTTACCAGTAACTACATACCAAACAAAGTAGAAAACACAGATGAGATGGAATAATTTCTGGACACATATAACAACTTACATTCAACCAATAAGAAATAGAAAGCCTAGGGCCAGCAGATGGCATAGTAGTTATGTTACTGGACGCCCATATGGGTGATTATAGTTCCAGTCCTGGACCTGGTGGCTTAAAACTCATGCTGGGCACATGTGACTATGTGCTCAAGATCCCAGGAGGAGAAGTAACTGTGCTGTGGCCATCCTCTGGGGGGAAGGGGGGGAGGTTGTTTCTAACTTTTTGTTTCTCTGGTGAATGTATATGCCCTAAGGGAAATTAAAAAAAAGCCTGAAAAGACCAATGAAAAGCAATGAAACTGAGGGAACCAGCAGTTAGTGTAATGGCTATGTCGCTGGACTCCCACGTAGTCGACCGCAGTTCGCGTCCCAGACCCAGTGGCTTAAAACTCACGCCGGGCGCGTGTGCGTGCGTGCCCAAGATCCCGAGAGGAGAATGGAGGAGAAGGGACTGCAGCGTGACCATCCCCCCTGGGGGGTGATTTCTCACTTTCTGTCTCTCTGTCTCTCTCTGTCTGTCTGGTGAGCGGTGGTGAGCGCACAGGCCCTATAGCGAAAAAACCTCTCAAAAAAAAAAAAAAAGCAATGAAACAGAGAGAGTAGAAAACTACAGATTAATATCGGTAATGAATACTGACAAAAATGTCAACAATGTATCAACTGGGGCCAGCAGATGGCACAGTGATTATATCACTGAATTCCCACATGGTCCACCACAGTTTGACTCCTAGATCCCGTGGCTTTAAACTCACAGTGGGTGTGTATATACCCAAAATCCTAAGACAAAAATGGAGAAGGGACTGTGCCATGGCCATCCCCTCTGGGGGTAATTTCTTGCATTCTGTCTTTCTGTTTCCCTCTGTATCTCCAGTGAGCACATTCAAAAAAAAAAAAAAAATCCAACATACCAGCAAATCAACCCCAACAATATGTTAAAAAGATTATATGCCATAGCCAGATAGGCTTTATACCAGGGATGCAAGGGTGCTTCAGTATATACAAAATAAATGTAACAAAATCACACTGACAGAAGAAAAGACAAACCCATATGATCATCTCAGCAGAAAAGACAAACCCATATGATCATGTCAACTGACACAGTAATAGAATTGGACAAAATACAACATCCTTTCATGTTAAGACTCAACCAAAAAGAGACATGAAACTGACATTTTTCAACACAATAAATCTATATATGAAAAAAAAAAACATAACTAACATCATACTGAAGCAGGAAATGCTAGAAGCTTTCCCACTGAAACCTGGAGGAAAGGGCTGTTCATTTTCCCTACTCCATTTCAACATAGTGCTGGAAGTCTTAGCCAATTTCAAGAATGTAAAATGAAATGTATTCAGGTATGAAAAGTGAAATTGTACCAATCTATAGATTACATACGTGTATATATAGAATATCTAAAAAATACACAAAAATTTCCTGGAAGTGAAACTTGAATGCAAAAATCTGTATTTCTGTACATCAAAAATGAAGAACCCAAGTAGAACTGAAGAAAGTAATCCCATTTACAATAGCCACAAACAAAAACCTGGGAATAAACTTAAACAAAGAGGCAAAAGACCTTTACAAGGAAAAGTACAAAAATTTGAAAAAAAAATTTGAGTATGATACAAAATAAAGGAATGATATACCATATTCTTGGATCACAGGAGCCAATATAATAAAAATGTCAATTTTACCCAAATTGATTTACACATTCAATTCAGTTCTGATGAAATTACCAATGACATTCTTCACAGAAACAGAAAAAACAATCATAAAATTTATCTGGAATCATAAAAGGCCCTATATAACTGAGGAAATACTGTGCAAAAAAGAATAAAGCAGGAGATATCTCACTACTTGTCATCCAAATATATTACAAAGCTGTAATAATCAAAATGGTATGGTATTAGCACAAAACAGACACAAAGAAAAATGGAAAAGAATCCAGAATCCAGAAATAAACCACAAAATATACAGTCATATGATCTGTGACAGATAGCACAAGACAACCCAGTTAAGGAAGGAAAAGACTTTCAAAAAATGGTCTCATAGAATTGAATATCCAATTGCAGAAAAATGAAACTGGATCCCTATCTCTCATCAGCAATAAAAATCAACCCAAATAGATCAAAGATTTAAATGTATACTCTCAAACAATACAACTACTGATGGAAAATACAGAGAAAACTCTTGGAGACATTGAAGTAAGCAATCACTTCTTAAATAAGACCCTAAAGCACAGGCAATAATTCCCCAAAATAATA